TTCTTTCTCTCTTAGTATAATATCTAAGTACTTTTTTCCTAATGCTTCAGTCTCCAGAATGCATACCAACCAATTAACAATTGGCTTGGGAGTAGACATTCAAAGATTGACTGGCTATCATTTCCCAGAGCCAGAGCCAGGGCTGAATCAGCAGCATAACAACCTACAAGCAGCTGGAACATCAGGAACAACATCAGAGGTGTAAAGGAAACAATTTCTCGTGGCCAGATCTCAGACCAATTCAAACAAAACAAATTCAGTCTGATGATAAATTCCCTTTGGCTCTTGCTCTTGTGTCGGGAGCATCAAGTCCCAGCCAGGACAACCAGTATGGCTGAAAGGAGAAAGTTAAAACAGCAATTAGATGGTGCTAATATGGCTCCAGTATAATCCCTCCTCTGCTTTCGAGTCTCTGCCTGCCAGGGCTCTTGGCCACCTTCCCAGGGTTTAATTGCGTTTTGCAAGTGGCCATGGTACAATCGCCACTGTGTCGCCCTAACTAATTTCAGACACAATCCTCATATCCAGTTCAGTAAAAGGGAACTGAAATACCTCTGACAGAAAAATGAAAGTGTTTTCTAGTTTAAAGACTGACTCAATTAAGGGAATAGTTGGTTCTGAAGGAGAAAGAATAGGGGGTAAAATAGATGGAGAAATAATAATACCCTTGGACTCTAGAATTCTTTTTCAATAAAGCACCGAAGAGGAACGGTTAATAGGATTTGATTCATTGCTGCTGTTTAAAGTTTATATGCATTTTCAAATGGAGTGGATTTTAATTGGAATCTGGCTTTAGGGTAACTGAGGGGCAGTGGGGCTCAGTGGAGTAAGTACTGGTCTCATTCTGGGGACCACTGGCTCTAAGCCAGATGAACTGTGTTTTAGTCTTCCCTATGCTAGTTGCTAAATATACAAACTTGGGGAAGCCACTTGAAAGTTTCATGTCTCCATTTTCTCATTAACATATTGAGGATGAAGAACATGGTTCCCTTATCTAATTTGCAGGATTGATTGTTAAAGTACTTGGAAAATTACAAAGTTCCAAATGATGAGTTTAAGGCCTTATGTTAAAATCTAACTAGTAAATATTTCTCATAAAAATAGACTTTTACCAACCATGGTCATCTATAAAATTGTGAGGGAGGCTACAATACGGTAAAGAAAAAGTATGTGTTTTATGGAAGATGAACAAAAATAGCACAGGGGAAATATTACCTCCTCGAACTAATTCTAATCAGAATAGACAAACCCTATTTTTCCATTAGGCCACAGTGCAGTGGGAACGGAGCTGCTGGTCCACCAGTTGACACCTATGGAGCACTTAACAGTGCACTTAACGCTCTGCCAGCCATTGTGGGAATTAGAACATTCCGGTCCCTTTCCTTAAGGGGATCATAATCTAGCTGAAGAAACAAGACCCAGATATTATGCCCTTGGCCAAGAAAATGTGTACTTATAAATTGTTAAGTACACATTTAAAGGTCAGTAAAAGTTGAAGTCCTAAAAAGATAAGAAAATAGAACAGAGCAGTTTAAAGAGTCTTCATGGAAGACTCAGGATTTGAGGAGGGCCTGAAAGGATAGTTAGGATTTGAAAATAGAAAATAGGAAAACGTTAGATATTTCAGGAGAGGGGAATATAATGAATAAAAGCTTAGGGGAGGGAATAAAGATGATGAAAGTAGAGGTGGCTATGTTAAATAAAGTGTAATTTATAAACCTTGTTCATAGCTCCTACATATGTAAGCAGATATGGCAAAGTTTCTCACCAAAAAGGCATCATGCATTTAATACCCATACCAAATAATAAGCCATGTAATTTATGAATGTCTGCATCTTCTTGAAAGGCAAGAGACCTTAGATGAACAAGACTAATCTGAAAATGGTGAGAACACTTCAAATGTAAAAGAACAGATGAAAATAGAAGGACCAAATCTGATATGGGGCCAGAATCGGGTGTCAAAGTCAAGTTAGAGAGTCAAGAGTTCAAAATCAAAGAGAAGAGGTCAAAAACGAGCAGAATCTCTAGAGAGAGCTTAGAAAAGAGGTCCCTGAACCTTTGCTTCCAAGACCAGTTGGTTGCCAGAGCTTGCTTTTATGAGCTAACAGAAGACAATCAAGAGTCTAACTCAGAGGCTTAGGGGTTGGGGACTGGACCGGAGGCCATTAGATCAATGCAGTGACTGCTCTCAGTTATCAAACTCTGCACTGCAACCTGTTCCCTCAAGATCCTAGTCATAGGAATAAAGCTGATTCCTACCAAGCACAAAGAACCACAGAACCTGAAATAGGCTTTAAGTAGGCCTTCTTATTTTATTTCACCTGAATTGTTAGCATCAATAAGTTTGGAGGAATCTTTGGGAAGATTTGACTTTATAGGCTGGAAGATAAAAATAATTAAGATCCATTATATTTTGAAACGTCAAATTTTGACTTCCAGTAGTTATGGGGGGAATGGTCATCCTTTACCATTTGAGATCACGGGAAAGACTTAGGAGGCAGAAGTGAATTTTCAAAGTACTCTGATTTGAATATGTCAACGGGGTGGTCTCATATAGATGTAGGAACTGTCTCTGCAGCTTTCTCCGGAGATCTCAGCATCCCTACGTGAAGTGCCAACGCCCATTTTTGCAAAGGTAACGCGCACAGGGGCTGTGATACCTGTGTAGCAACGTCAGCCTGAAGACCAGGCTTGGCAGAAGGAAGAAAGGGAACACAGTCAGAAAAACAGTTGTAACAAAGCCCATTGGCTTTATTGAACTTTATTAACAAGTTACAGAAGTCAGGTCAGAGTTCATAAATTAGACTGTTGCATAAAAGAATCTGGATTTCATTAATCTTGTTAACTTTGTGTTCCTGGTACCTTTGGTTCTGTTTTAGGTCTCAGTTAAAAAGAAAAAAGCATAGAAGTTATGAACAGGCAACACAATCAAATGAATTAGCATGTGAAAAAATCCAGATGCTTGCCACATGACTTAAACCAAAATAAATGCCAGATGGACTGAGATTTTAAACACAAACAGAAGCTTGAGAGAACTAGAAGAAATAAGTGAATAATTATACTTGGTAAGGGAGAATTGCCTAGGCATATTCTCCAAAACAAAACTCATAAGGGAAAATATTGATAGATTCGGTAACGTTAACAACTTTAAATTTGATAAAGCAAACAAACCCATAGACCCAAATTAAAAGGCAAATCACAGTCTGGAAAAGTACAATACATTTGACAGGTGAAGGATTAATTTCCTGAGTATTTAAGGAAATCTTATAGGTCAGTAAGAGTTGACAATCCCAATGGAAAAAATGAAATAATAACCGTAAGAAAGAATATTAATCACCACTAGGGATCAAATAAATGTAATTACCAAAAAAAAAAAAAAGAACCCATTGAGATTGTAAAATAAAAATACTCAATGTTGACAAGGGTCTGGAGAAAAATCATTCCATACACTGAAATAACAATGGTTATATTTAACTTAATACATATGTGTCAGATCCCATTTTACATTTTTGCATAGACTTTCACATTTCATCTTCAGAACAGCTCTAGAAGATAAATCACAGTATTTTATCTTTTCTCAGATATGGAAATTAAGGAAGACCTAGAGGGGTTCAGGAAGTTGCCTAATGCCTTCAACCAGAGGTCATTAAGCTAAGACGTGAACCTGGAGTCAACCTCAGAGGCCATAGTCTTACTCATCACTGTGAGGCTTTCTCTCTTTAAGAGGAATATAATTTGATAATGTCTTTCTGGAAGACAATTTGGCAAAAAACAATTTAATTGCAAAAGTTGTTAAAGTGTTCATATGCTTTTACCCAAGAATTCTTCTTTTAGGAATACAGTGAGGTGAGAAGAATGCAGAATTATATGTGCAATGATATTTAATATTTCATGGTCCACAGTAAGAAGATGGTCCAAATATCAAAGATATAGGTATTGGCAATGCCAATTTAAAGGACATGTATAGTGGAATGTTATGCATATATTACAAAAGATGATGTAAAAATATAATAAAAGTTGGGGAAATATGCTTTATTTGAGTTCAAAAAGCCTAGTACAACAACTCAATATGTTGCCAAGTCCAATTACAAGTTCTTCTATGGTAATAATGTCCTTTTTATTATTAACATTTATAGAGGGCCCTCTATGTACTAAGTGTTTGAAATAGACAAATACCTTCGTTGTCATGGAGCTTATATTCTAGTGGGGAAGACAGACTATAAATAAGACTAAAAAAGGAAAATGTGCAGCATATTAAAGGATAAAGAGAAAATAATTAAGCATATGCAGTTCTGGAAGGAGGGGGACATTTGAAATTTAGGTGGAGTGACCAGCAAAGACTACACAAGAGAAGATGGGTTTTTGTCAAACGACACATACCCCATGGGGAAACTGAAATAGAGAGAAATGAAAGAATTTCCCTGAGGCCCGACACCTAGTTAGTATGAGAGGCAGAACGCAGGCACCTTGATTCCATGATGCTATTAATAAAAACTTGAGTTGTATTTATAACTGTGAATAGTAATTATTTACAAATGGTGAGATGTGTTGATTTTTTTGAGAACTACCATGTTTGCTGTTGTATAAGGCACAGGTGTCTTTTACTGATGATTTGTGTGGCTCTTAACAGTGGTGAAGAAATGGAAGAGTAGCCTACCAGAAATCCTAGACAATTTTTGAATGGATTTCAAAGCACACCAGACCAGTTCATTCCCCTGGCTTCTAGTGCAGTTGTGCTTCAACACTCTGATTTTCATCATAATAACCTTTATCTCCCAGATACAGGGTCTCCAAAGTGGCCTCTCCTCTGGACCACCTGTACCACTGCACCACCGTTTTCCAAGTCACTGGCTCTCTCCCTCTTTCTCTTCCTACTCCTCAGGTCTCATGTTCACTTAATGGCCAAATGGAATAGATTAAAAATTTCCTTACATACGTTCTCTTCTTTCCATTGTCATAGCCATGGCACCAATCTAGGGTTTAATTCTCTCCCTATCCAGGAGACTACCTTCAGGAGAACAGCTGGATTTAACCACACCCCATTAGGTCACTCTCCTGATCATGCCCCTTCAGTGGTCATCCCAGTTCCTATCAAGGTAAGTGTAAGTGTAAATTCGTTATCCTGATTTTCATGGTTAAAAGCGATGGACATTTCCCATCTTACATTCTACTCCCAATTGTACATGTTCTGTAGTCCAGCCATGACAGGGATAATAATGCTCACCAAACAATGGACTTTCCTCTACTTTTCCCAGCTCTTTGCAGTTAGGCAAGACATTTGGCTAGATCTGGTTAATTAGCTGTTAGCAGAAAAGACGTGTCACTTCTGTGCTAGAATACAGAAGAACAGGTATGAGTTCTCCATGCTTCCTTATTCTCTTGAAGCAACAGGGGAAGCTGCACATTTCAGATCAAGCAGCTACAAAATGGTGGGATCTGAGTCCCGACTGACCTCTGATGGATATGCAGTATGAGTAAGAAATAAACCTTTGATGTGTTGGTGTGCTGTTACATAGAGCTTCTGGGATTCCGGAGTTAATTTTTTGCTACACAGTAGTCTAGCCTGTCTAAATTAATACGTCAGCCAAAGTGAGCGAGCTCACCACTTCCTTCACCCATATCCTTATCCTTTGTGCTTTTCCCATATCCTTACCTTTGCCTTTGTTTATCTCTCCACTGGGGACATCCTTCCTTGAGTGATTAATTTCCCCATCCCTTTATCACTTTATTCATTCATTTATTTATGTATATATGTATTTATAATGAAGTATAGCGGGTTTACAATGTTGTGTTAACTTCTGGTGTACAGCATAGTGATTCAGTTATACACACACACACACGTGTATATACATTCCTTTTCATATTCTTTTTCATTATAGGCTATTGCAAGGTATTGAATATATTTCCATGTGCTGTACAGTGTACAGTAAGATCTTGCTGTTTATCTATTTTACATATAGTAGTGTGTATCTACAAATCCCCAACTCCCAATTTATCCCTTCCCATCTCTATTTAAATTTTATTCATCCTTCTAGAACGATCCCAAATGCCAACCCTGCCTTAGTGCTTCTTATTTGCCCAATCAGATATAATCTATCTTTCTTTTAATCATAAAGAAACTCGGTAGTTACCATTATGATTGTTCTTCACAAATTCTGTCTCATCTCATGGTTATTGGTTTACTTATTTTTCCTCTCAACGAGAACAGCAGGCCCTTCTGAGGGTCTTAACGATACATATATGTCTAGCCTTCATGGCCTTTTATATCTAAAATTTTCTGGAAAAATATTTGTGAAACTGAGTTGAAGACTCATAAGTGTGCAGTATAATTTTCAAAATTTCTACCATAATGGCTAAAAGAAAATATGATTTGGGCATTTGGGAAACTAACCTTGAGGTAATGATTTTTAAATGGAAATTCTGTTAGTTTCCTGTTTCTTTTCTATTTCCATATCATTAAATGGTGAACTTCGTTTCACTTTTGTCCTCTCAAGACCTAGGACATTGCTTAGTATAATATTTAGTGCTAGATAACATGTCAGTGAATAAGGAAAGATTCAGTACATAACCTATTACTGTATTAAAAATTGAGTTAGCTAAGACTTAATTGCATGTAATACCTCTAGACCTGGAAAGAGCCCTCGACATATAAGATGAGAGAGTTTTAAAGCTAATAGTGGATTCAGAATAAGGGAAATGAAAACTAAATTCTGAAGGTGTTAGATTTTGAAAAGGATTCACATATATGTTGTCTCATCATTTGCTTGTTATCACTCTCTGAAGTAGACAGGTATTATCCCCACTTGGGACGTGAAGAAACTAAATCCCAGAAAGGTTAAGTGACTTGTGTAAGGTCAAACAGCTGGTTTAAAAATGGAGTTCTCAGGCATCCTGATTCCTGGTCCACTGCTCTTTGTTCTGTATGTTATTGCCTTCCTTTGTCTAAGTTCAAGACAAAGAACATCTTTAGTATCATCATTATGATTGTGTAATGTGTTATTGTGGCAGCATCATCCAGCTAAGTAACTGAAGACGGCACACACGCACACACACGCAGTTATACAAGCCTCCTCCAGTCCAGGCTGAAATAGAATGAATCCCGTGTTTGTTGCTGGTGAATGTTGAATCCTTCCATATCGGTGTTTGTGTTTAAAAATAAGGCAGTATACACACTCTGTAATTGAATGTCAAGAAATATGAAAATATATTGTTTTATTGCTACTGTTCATTGATCTATCGAAGTGATTTATTGTCGATGGACATGCAGTACAACAAATCACTTTGCTGACACCATCAGCTGCCTTAACTAGGTTGTCAGTTCACGACATTAAAGGTAATGGATGGTGATTATTTTACAGTAATGGGTTTAATCAGCGCTTTGAATGACTTAGCAGTCATGTCAGAGTAGAGCCAACTCATCATTCATCAAGGCAGCATTTTGTTTACCAACATCATCTATAATTCATTTGATTGTTGACAATCAGCAGCAAATACCTCTCAGGCAAAGTTTTATCAGAGATGGAAATCTGCTCAGCTGCAGCATGCTAAGTCACTCCGCGGGGCTGTCTGAGCAGGCACGGGTGGGGAGGGACGCCCATGTCGTGAGCGCCCAGAAAGGGGGCTTCCACCAGCTGGGCTTCCTGTCTTCTTCCACTCCCATGGATTGGGTTCTTTCATTTCCATCTCTTCAACCCCTGATTTCATAGGGTCTCCAGTCACCCAGAACTTCAGAAAGACCTTTGTTCTAGAAGGTAGGAAAATGAGACACATGTGATCTTATTGCTTCAGTCAGCTCAGCCTAGCCATAGGCAGTAAAGTACAGTGGTTAGGACCTTGGATTCTGGAGAGGCCACACTTGGCTAGAATATCTCCTCTGCCTAGTACCAGTTGTGAACCTTTGAGCAGGTGACTAAACAAACATCTTTCGGTTTCATCTATAAATGGGGGTTCATAATATTACCTTTGTCATGGAATGGTTATGAATATGAAGTATGTTAATGTTGGCAAATTGGTTAGCTCTATGCCCTACATAGGACGTTTTCAAAAAATGTTGATTCTAATTTTTCTTATTGTGTTTTATTTATGAATTCAGTTTCAGAGGCCCTGTCCTAATGGGAGAGAGAATCAGAAAGGCAAATTAAAGTAGAAACAAAAGTCTTAGCTGTCTGAATTTGTTAGTATGTTTTTGTCCTGTTCGTCTACTTAGTTTTAGGTGTAATGCCAGCAAGAGACTCACGGGAGGGAAACAGGAACCATAAGTAAGAAATTAAAAGAAAGAGTTGTTCTGCAATTTGGGAATAGGGTGCAATACACGTTGCATTACCTGGCTTTTCTGTGTACAGGACGTACTATGTAGCACATACATTTGGCACCTTATAGATCCCAGGGCATCAGTGCGGGTACAGTGCCCAGGAGGCAGTGTTGCTGGTTGGGAGATGGCAGCACCATTAGGAGTGCCAGCAAGAATGCTCAAAAGAAGCAGCTGTGGGAACTGAAAGATAGCATAGTAGCTGGAGTCACCGTGGACCCAGCAGTGCTTGGAGCGTGACTTAGTGATACAAAGAGTGGCCGAGGCAGTGAGAAGACTGAGAAGCCATGCAGTGGCTGAAAGGGCAGTTTGACTGGAGCATATGTGGGATATTCCCTAAGGACTTCCAGAAATTATTTTATGTGAGGGCAAGCATATGTTATAAGAAGTTGGAGACCCTAAAACTGGCAGGGTGGGGACAAGAGCCAGAGAAGCACTGCTCCACAGCAGTTAGTAACGTGTCTTTGGCAGAGCCATGTCTCCTCTCCTGGCCTTGTTCTTCTCCGTAAGCTGAGAGTGTTAGGATATGTAGACTTCGGTGGGCAAGTGATAAGTAGAGAGACATCAGATCATCTGATAGCCCTTTGCAAATTACACATAGCTGGGTCTCTTACTGAACCTTATCAGAATTTATGGTTGAGATTTAGTAGATGTTGGATAGGATGTAGGTGGGAAGGTTGGGTTTTGTGTGTGTGCGTGTGTGCCTGTGTGTGTTAGGAGTGACAGAATGCATATCACATGCCTTCTGTAACCCTGATTGATATTTCCATCTCTGATAACCATTAGGTCAGACTATCTCTAATTTCCTTTCAGTTCTATAATTCTATAAAATGTTTTCATTAATTAACTTCTTAGGATCATCTTTAGTTCCTTTCATAGACTTCTCAGACTAGTTTAAGAATCCCTAGTAATGGAGGGAGTAAGATCTTCTAAGTTAGATACCGTAAGAGAGACATTAGCTAAGGGTGGCACTCTTAAGTAGTTTAGGAAATGAATACATAACAACAACAACAACAACAACAACATTCATTGAGTGCTTGCAGTGAGATAAACATTGTTCAAACTGCTTCTCATGCATTAACTCATTTAATCTCACAATAAATTTAAGAGCTAGGTTTGGTTGTAGAGTAAAAAAATTCAAGCACGTAGAAGTAAAACAACTTGCCCAAGATCACCCAGCTAGAAAGCAGCAGAACCGGGCTTTGAAGCCAAGCATCTGATTCTGGGGCTGTTAACTGCTGCTCTACACTGTATGAGTATGATTAATTCATAGAGTGAACAGTTAGGGGGAAAAGTGACTCTCAGACTAGGTACACACCTCTCAGACCTTAATTAGCATGTAGGTGGGGTAAGAAGCCTCTCCTGTGCTTTAAATAAATGGATGACAGACTCCCTTTGTTCCTAACGTTGGAAATGACTTAATCTTCGCTTAGCATGTTATATATGTACTAATAATACTCTCTTGGGCGCTGAAAGGAGAAGCAAAGTACGGGGCCATGCTGGCCAGGGAATCACAAAGGGACTATTGCAGGCATTGGAGCCTGGAGCACAAAAGGCAAACTTGTCCACTTCAGAACTCAGCTGGGGACAGGGTTCATTCTTGAAACCTGACAAACTCCTTTGTGACTTGGATAAGCATTCTTCTCTCTATACAAATTCCTCAGAAAGAGGATCATGCTAAGGAAGGAGAGACCATTGAGAACGGTCACTATGGTGATGAGATCACCACCATATTCCTGTAGCAGCATGTGGACACTGAACCCTGAAGGAGTGGCAGAGATTAAGGAG